GGAAGTAGGTATTGGTCAGGGAGAGTTGGTTGTCTGATGTCAGTCCAAGGAGTCGTTCCCCGTTGTTGTTCATAATGTCGCGTCCGTACGCGCCCAAAATCTTGCCATCGCAGCACCCGTCTCGCCTCCTACCAGTGCGTGCGTTGGCGTCCATTAGCACCACGAGATGGTCATGGCTGTGAACCTCCCGGATCACTGCGTCGAGAGCAGTCCAAAAGGAGTGTACCACTGCGTCTACAGATAGGAACGGAGACCCGAAACCGCAACGCATCCAAGATTGAATGTCGCGTTTGGGGGGGGTGGGGGGGGGAGCGTGATCCCTACGAAAGCTACAGTTAGATCGGGGGTGGCGGAGGGCTTCCGCGTAGCCCCCTTCATGTGACGAAGGTTTAGCCGAAGGCTAAGGTTGTTGGGCTCGGTTGACGCTAGGGAGCAACTGGACAATAATTGTTCTGGGCATTCTGACAAACCTCGATCAGTGAGGCAGCCACGCGTTGACAGCGTCTGACCGCCGTGTGATAATCACTCATGGGTGGGGCGGGGTAACCATAGAAATTGTCGACAGTCACTAGCGCTGTTGTACCAGTTTTGCCTTTCTTTTCAACGTTTTTCTGCATGGCGGGGGCGGGGGTTGCGGTCCTTCTCCATCACACGCGTCCCACAACCGCAGCGAGAGCTTGGTCTGCTGAAAGACGAAGTCGACAGCATGGAGGCGGACGGACGGTGAGATGGACGGCGTGAGAGGGTCTTGGACAGTTGTCGCGTTCAAGCGTCTAGACTACACCCGCTGCTCTAGACAGACATTGCGTTCCTCCCTGGTTGACTATCGTTAGGCTGGGCAGGGGGTGCCTTGGTGAGTTCATTACTCGGCAGTCTCAGCAGTGTGTACCCGCCACCGTAACGGCGGCCTGAAGCTGCTGTTTGAATAGTACAGCAGCTGAGACGCGGATGCTGTGGTAGACTCGTGGGTTTTGCATAGGGGAATACGGCAGCGCTGGTGGCGGGTGCTACCGTCGGACAGTAGGACAGCAGTAGCTGTGACGAGCGGGCAGGACACTAACGCCCAACGTCACCCTTGTGCCCTTGTGGATCAAGAGGGTGGAGGCTCTTCCTTGTGTCTGTGTGTATTGCCTTTCTTTACACCATGCATTGGCGCGTTAATTTTGTACCTACGATTGACCGCGGAAGCCGCTTTTTATCCAGGAAACCTGTCGCCTTTTCTATGGCCTCAGGATGTTAGAGAGGTCTCTACAAGTATTGAGAACGCATGCGGTGAATAAAAAATCGAGATATATTCGTAGGGAAACCATTGTGTTTCCGGTGGCAATCGACATGTATGTGTGTTCTAGCTTTCAACATGAGAGGCCTTATCAAGTACTGCAGCCCCGCAAAGAAAATAGAACGCTGCCCATCCTGCATGGGGAGTCGTGAACAAACTCGAACGAGGAACGCCGGGCAATTTCAGCGGAAAAATCCTGGCCGTAAAAGGAATCGGCAAGCAAGAACACCACGTACTCGGACGAAGGGGGCCAACTAGGCGCGAGCTTACCACAAAATAACAAGTTGCGCGAAAGATAGGACTCTAGGGGGGCTTACTCATGGTCATAGTTGTGCGTGACGTGTCGTTAGACCATTGTCCTCTCATCCCTACAAAAACCGGGACGGAGCGAAGCACAGTGAGGTATTCGGCGAGTCGTGTGGAGGGTACGCTGCATCCTGCGGAGGGTGTTCGGCATCTCGTGCATACTTCCTTGCATGCAAACAAATACCGCCGCGAAGTGCGTATATTGTTCTCTGTGCCTTCACTTCTGTAGTTGGTTATAAGCACTGTGTAACTGCCTCGAGCGTGCTTGACCAATTTAGCATCACGTGGTGCGATCACCCCCTTTGCGCGGAGTGAGGGTTCTCGACCCCGCACGACATGAACTACGCGACCACCATCATCATGGTTACCGAGAAAAATCAGACACGAAAAAATGCGGCACCGTCGTAGCCAAGCGACGAAAATCCACGGGGGAGGCTATGGGAGAGCATGAGGTACTCGTGTAAGCATGCCGTAGTCCTTAGACACTTGACCTCGCACCCCTAAATGCCAGGACGGGGCGGCATGGACTCCAGGCGAGGGTAGTTTTTAGGAATACCTGTCTGTAAGGAAGACCCACACAACCACCAACGAACGTGCATGCATGACCCATTGCCTCTTTTCCTGAGCCAAAACGAACAGTAGCATCGGCCAACAACGCACTGCACAGCCAGGTTCCAGCATGCTTCAATGGGTAAGTCGTGTATCTTGATGACACATGCTCTTCTATTGATTTTTTGCGCACCCTCCCCCCCCGGTGTTTGCCATCGGGGTTGGGTTTTCGTCGCTTGGCAACGACGTTGTAAAACAAGCCGCCCCCCCCGGTGTTTGCCATCGGGATTGGCTTTTCGTCGTTTGGCAACGACGTTGTAAAACAAGCCAATTCACTTCGTGAGCTCGGCAACCAGNCCCCCCCCCCCCGCCCTTCTAGAAAAAGCGCTTGCAACTGTCTCTGGATGCGTAAGCACCAGAAAATAAATTCAGTCATGCGCAGCTGTGTCATCCGTGCTAGGAAGAAAGCACAAGATATGGAACACCCTTAACAGGATCCAGCGCACCCTCCATGCGACTCGTCGAATAGCTCACGGCGCTTCCCGCTGGGTGATGTGAGAGCCTGGTGCGGTGAGAACCCGGCGTGCTCCGTCTCGGTGTTGTAGGGAGGCGAGGTCCCCCCTTCTCGAAATGGCGGAATGACGAGGAGTAATTCAGATCTACATTTGACCATATCCCATTTGACCTTTTCCCATTTGATTTTTCAAAAGAGCACAGTTGCGGTGTTTCTGGAACGGGCACGGTTCTGGCGCGCTACTAACCCTTTCACGGGGGATTGATTGAAGCAGCCGCCATGCGCCCCTGTGGGAACGGCAAATGTTATATACGACACCGGTGTCGTACTTCCTTATATACGACACCTACCATTTCTTGGCCCACAGGGCTCCAATCGGCGTACAACAAAATGCGCTGTGTAGCCACGGCCCGCAGCTATCAGCCCATACCATTTTGGGTCAAATCGGCCAAGTGGTTGCGGAGAAAGAGCCGAAAATAGAGGGCTCCGCAACTTACCGGGGGGGTGTCAGCGACGTTCCGGTCATAACTCCTTGCACAGACATCGCCTGATCGCACGTAAACTCGCGATGAGTACGTACAGGCCAGAGCTATCGTTCAAGCCGCTGTGGGGCGAAATCCACCCAGTCAGTGCCATGGTACGCCTACACCCGGCTGGACGGTGTCCCCAAGGGCGGTGTCGTAGATAAGCTTATATACTCTTCAACCACTTGGCCGATTTGACCCAAGTATGGGCTGATAGCTGCGGGCCGTGGCTACACAGCGCATTTTGTTGTACGCCGATTAGAGACCTGTGGGCCAAGAAATGGTAGGTGTCGTATATAAGGAAGTACGACACCGGTGTCGTATATAACACTACCATGTATGGATAAATGTGTTCGTCGAACATCATCAATCAGTTGCGGTTGAGCCTTCCTCACGCACATTCGTTCTGGGAAAGAACAAGGCAATCCGTCAATGCTTTCGGGAGGGTTGAGAGAGGTAAAGACGTTGTTACAGCATGGATGGCAAGAGGAGGTTGTGGTTACCTTCGCCACAACGTCCTCATCTACCGTGTCTGGCGTTTCAACCCAAGAAGTGGCGGGAAAGTCTCTTGCAGAGGGAGAAGGTTGGGTTCAACTTGTTTGCGACCTACGCCACTTATTTATCGGGTGAGACTGTTTTGGTGATGTTTTAACTTCACGAGAGGTAGACGACCGTCCTTCACACGGACGAGAGAGGGAGTGCTCCAAACAGAGCGTCTCCAACAGCAAGGAGGGGCTCTGTGAACCATCGCGGTGCCCCCTACCAAACGGCAACCTTACCAATCTGCGTGACACCAAACAGCACATGTATCCAACACCAATTTTCGCAGACCCACGAATACAACTCGGGTCCAAATGAGGATTGATTACTCTTTATCTGAGAAACAATGATGATCCTTCGGCGAGTTTAATATCTACATGTAGAAATATCTCGCTCGGGAAGCCACCAGCCAGTGAGCTACTGCAAGCTACAGCTAGCTGTAGTTGTGTATTATTACTACAATCTCTACTGGGGGCGGGGCGTGAAATCAATGGGCAAACGCACACACAAACGTTACAGGAGCTGCCGTAGGTACATAGAGTAGAGGTGAAACCGATTGGAGCATCACGCTAAACACACCCGCTTATTGACCACCACCTCCCCTCTTGCACGGTCGCTGATGATGCATGAAATGACTGCTCTCATCATCCTTGCCAGTGTACTTCCTTCTGTGTGGGTGGCTTTGAAAGAACGGTTTCCATGTCGCAGAGGAAGTCGTCACCTCTCGGTCCGGTGAGGTCGCCAAAAATGGCCGCGAAACATGCTCTTAGTCTATACTGAACTGGCAGTCTACGCGTTTGTTTGCTACGTGTTCCCTCCCAAACTTCACTGGCTATGCTATGCATGCAAGATTTCCCAAAAGTGCGTTCGCCTCACAGCAGCAGCAGTGCATCTCTTTCGCATGTTGTCTAGACTATGCCTAGTAGTATAGCAACCGTCTCGTCGCCCTGGCCGGCACTCGCGCGAGGAATACTGTTCCCTCCCAAAAACGTCGTCGTGTGTGGTGTGTACTGGTAATTGCTGGTAGTGTTCAGGCCGTTGGCACAGCAGTCCTGACACACCATCCCTGCTGTGGAGCTCAGGATCGTACACCAATCCGCATCTCATGGATCCGAATAAACGGCGAGGGAGGCCGGATGTCGACAGGCGGACAGACAGACAGAAAGAGACAGAGATTGACAGAGACAGGAAGAGCAAGTGGAGGGGGCGTGTTCGTCAATGTAAAACGCCTCCATACATTTTGGAACACCCTGAGCGCGATCGTGTGGTGCGTTTTGCGTTTTATTGCATGTGGTTGGAGGCTGTATCCTCGCCTTGCGAAGACAAACGAGTTGACATGGATGGACCCGCTACCGATTTACCATCCCTGACAAAGTGGCAGCCAGGACGTTTGGTTTCAGTGTGGTTCGCTCTGCTGCTGCGATGCATGGTCTCGCTGTGGCCGTACTCTGGGCAAGGAGAGCGACCTATGTACGGTGACTACGAAGCACAGAGACACTGGATGGAGATCACCAACGCTCTGCCGCTTCATCAATGGTACAGGTAGTCAAACGTGATGGCAACGGTGAAGATTTGCCTGATGAGGGACTCACTCAGTCGCGTTGGGAGTTTGGAAATGGTGTTCTCCTTCACTGTCCGGGATGCCCCCATCCAAAGCTGCAGCGTGCAGCGTGTGTATTTCCTCCGCATTTTCGTGTTTTCGAAATTTCGGGCACCCTTCATGTTGTCCGCGTGCTGACTGCACCTTGCTGCGCCGTCTACGTACCCACGATCCCGAAGTTCGCCCAGGGGGGCTTATGATACAGCGGCGCTCTCACGGATTAAGAGCGGTTTAAGCGTCCAACGCCCTCTCAAGAGTGGATTCCCGCTTATTGTCCTGTGTAGATAGCGCACAGCACAGCCCGCATGAGGCGTCAAGCAACGGGTGCTGGCGGTACGCGTCCACCGTAGGTTGCTTAAGATACCATACCCCCGGGATTGATTTTCAAAGCTCGGTTGCTCCACGACGAAGATGTCAATATCAAATTATTCGTGTTCGGAAAGCTCTCGACAAGAAGGTTCCATCGCCGCCATTTTCTGCACCGTTACTGCTGTTTTTTAGAAAGTAAACATAACCTCACAGAAAGACTACATACGCGTTCGAGATAGATATAACCTCGTGAGTCGAAAGGGATGTGGTGAAGTCTTGTCAGTACGTGGATTGAAACCAACTGGAGACTTAGCTTGTTTTGAGTTTGTGTAAGCCTAACACTGAGTAATGAGTACAGTCGACCCCGCTTTAAAGACACAACACGTTTTTCCAAAAAAAAAGTGTCTTTCACGCGGGGAAGTGTCTTTAAAATTCCGGGGCCACTAACACACCATCCCCGGGGCCAATGAAGGCCAAACATGTGTCAAAAGGTGCGCATTCGCAGCAGAAAGGCCACCACAAGCGGTGTTGTTTGAAACCTACGACACAAGGTGATTTGAAGGTCGCAACCACTGCTGCTATTGTTAAAAATACATACTTGCATACCATCGATTTGAATTTCCCCGTACTGTACCACCAAAACGCTGAAAGCGATGGTGTTCTACGACCTAAGCATCGTACATGTACACGACGGTAGTGCGCTGGTGTTGATATGGGCTTAATTATTTGCTTTTTCTTATTTTTTAGGCGTTGTCCTCCCCGTGAATATCTTGCCCAAGATCTCGCTACCGCACCTGAGAAATATCGAAGGTTGTAAAACGACACTAGGAAAATGTAGAATACGCAGAAACAAGAGACCAAGAATGTCGGGAAAGCACAGCGACAAAGAGGACACCGCGCCTCCCAAAAGGTCAAAACGAGGCACAACACAACACAAACGCCAAATTCAACCTCACGAGACTTCACCCAAGGCAAACAACGAACGTTGGCAATAAAAAAAAGTGCTTTGCTCTCGAAGCCAAAAACTACACCCGCCACGTCTCCCGAAGAGTCGCCTGCACCTCCCCCCCCTCCTTTGCTCTTCGCTTGACCTGAGTTTCATGAGTAAATGAATGCACAGTCTTCGAAAGAAGGTACGCATTTTCGCTGTACTCGCCGTCTCTTCCATGTGTTTACAAGTAAGAGCGGACATGTTCGAGACGAGAGCGAACCTCGCCCTCTGAAATCGTAGATTTATGCACGACTGGCCAACCGTGATCGCCTTCCTCTTCACTGGACACGTCCTCCTCGACGTGTACGTTTGACATGTTCTCCGTTACCTCTTCCATCTCAAGTTGTACCTCATCCCTCAAGACCTCTCCACCGCTAGCAGATGGAATGAATCTTTCCATACACCCACACGCAGTGTGCGGCTGCAGCAGACCGCTGTTGATGATCCAGGATCTACAGGTGCTGCAGCCCATTTTCTGGGGGGGGTCGAATGGTGGACAACCCTACCCCCCCCTACTTTTTCAGACCTGCGGGACACCATGTTTCTGAGATTGTTTGTGTCCTTAAAGCGGGGAGTGTCTTTAAAAATGGTGTCTTATAAGCGGGGACGACTGTAACGCCAGCTGGAGCTAAGAACAAAAGCATCTGTATAGGCGGATACATATTAATTTTATGTGGAATGTGGCCTTCACAGGGAACATGGCGCAGTGTCGTTTGACAACTTGCTGTTTTTAGAAAGTACTTCGCTGCTGTTTTAGGCGACTTGTGTATAGACTACAGTATGTACAGCTGTTGGACTGTTGTACATGTACACGCACCACATTTTTTTTTTTCAAAAGTTGGAGTTGTACTGTAGATTTGAGTGTGACTGTTTCCCGCTCATTTGAAATCTACAATGTTATGTTGTTCTTTGTGAAGGTGAAACGCGTTGAAGGGGAGGGGGATACATAGGGTAGTAGGTTAGGAGTGATCCTGATTTACACCAATGGAGTTTAGTCCTTGTGTGTAACGTATCATCGAGGTAAATGAACAGGCGGCGGTCAGCACAGCAGTAGAGTTGACGCCCTGTACAGATATCAAATGTAAATACACCATTATTTGAGTGTAACCAACTATTACCGGTATTTTCCTGTAAACAAGTATTTGAACAGCTTTTCAAGACAGCAGTTGCTCGGAACCAAATAGTTGCGCAGCATTTCAAGACAGCAGTTGACAGGAACCAAACAGTTGCGCAGCTTTTCAAAACAGTAGTTGCCTGGAACCAAATCTTGCGCAGCTTTTCAAAACAGTAGTTGACTGGAACCAAATAAATAGTCTACACATGTACCACATGTGGTCTACGGCCTCGCTGTTTAGATTCTTGTACAGTCTACGTAGTAGACGACAACGGCAAACAGCGCTCGTAGGAGTGTCGTGTGCTGCGAGGTGGATAGGTGTGAGGGGCGTATGGCCCACTCTCACGGCCTGCTTGGTGGCAGTGTAAATTTTGGGCTTCAATTCTCGAAAAAGTTCACACCCTGTACAAGTACAGTATTAGGTAGTTGATTGGGAATCAACTACTTTCCTGAAAAGCTGCGCAAGTATTTGGTTCCAGTCAACACTTGTTTTGAAAAGCTGAGCAACTATTTGAATGCAATCAACTACAATTGAGCAAACATTTGATTGCAGTCAACTACTGTTTCGAAAAGCTGCGCACATATTTGACTGCAGGCAACTACTGTTTTGAAAAGCTACGCAAATATTTGGTTCCAGTCAACTACTGTTTTGAAAAGCTGCGCAAATATTTGGTTCCTGTCAATTGCTGCCTTGAAAAGCTGCGCAACTATTTGGTTCGGAGCAACTGCTCCCGGAGGCAACTCTCTGTCAACTATTCATATTTGTCCTGGCGACTACTTTGAACATGTTGTGCTTGAAAGTGAGGGGGCGGGGGATCGGAGGGAACCCAGCCTGATGTCATTGGAAGGAAGATTGAGATTGGTTCCGGAAACGTGCATCCTCGAATCAATAGTGCGTGCATGTATCTGAGCCACAGTCATCGAGACGTAAATCAATAAGATGAAGTCAATCGAACCGACAAAAAAAACAATGAGTTTTGCCCCGATTATATATTTATATTTCATCACGTCCATCATCATCGTTTACGCGAGTTGAAGCCACCCAGAACCAAGAAGAATATGTTGCAATAGTCCAACCGACCACCATCCTCCCGGTGATCCTCTCGTGACCAGAGACCACGGTCGTCTCGTGACCAAGTATCGGCAACTACTTTCCAGAAATGTTGAGCAAATATTGGTTGCAGTCTACTACATGTTTCGAAAAGCTGAGCAAAAATTTGGTTCCAGTCAACTACTGTTTTGAAAAGCTGAAGGTACACACGCGTTGTATCCAAGTACACACCTGGGAGTTGATACGCAGCAGGAAATGGTGATTTTTCTTCCCGGTAACCGAGCTTCGAAAATCGCGCCAGGGGGGGTGATATCTTGTGTCATGTCACCTACTGTACGACAAGCGCAGGAAGACGACGCCGGCTGAGTTTTGAAGGCGATTTAGGCCGATCCGGTGTATCGGTTTGCTCGACCAATTTTCTTCACCCCTTACCCCTACCACGCCGCTTTCTTGTTTCCTCCTGTTTTCTCCGATGCGTCACGCTGCTGTGTGTGGTGTGTACATTTGGACTCCAGATTTGATCTGGAGTATTGGGGACTGGACTATCCTCCTCTGACAGCCTATGTCTCGTGGGCCTGTGGTCAGCTGTCGAGGATTGTGGAGCCCGCATCTATGGCTCTGGGTCTATCGCGCGGCTACGAGACTCAGAGCCACAAGGTAGCGACCAAGAAGGGCACTAACCTGCTGTACATGCGGTATGCTGCGGCTGTACTACAGCAGTAGGCTCATGTCCGGGGTTCGAATGTTCCCTCTTGAGTATTTTATCCTCGAGAATTATACATGCACCAGAAAAAGACTCAAGAACAGCGGTAGGTTTCGCAAAATGAGGCGATGACCTGCTTGTACTGATCTAGTGAGCGCAGCGTTGATCACAGAGATGGCAACCCTTGGGGAACGTGTTCTTGGCTTGGAAGAAAGCTTGACGGGCATAGTATTTTGTTGAGAGGCACGATGACCACTAGACCACCAGCCAGCGCTGATTGGTGGTCTCATCGTACTTCTCAACAACGGACATGCTGGTGTTGACTGGTACTGCTGACTGCTGTGTGTTCGACCGGTCAGACTTCTGTAGTACCTGTAGTACCAATTGTTAACAAGCACGAAGACCAGTGGTCTAGTGGTCATCGCTTCTCATTACCAATCAATGGGCATTCATACTTGTGTGTTGTGACGTACGACAGCCTTGTCGACGGGTGGCGACGAAATGACCACTGCTGTACATAATCGACCCTCGACCCCAGTCTGACGTTGCGGTGTTGCGGGGCCGTTCTGTGTGTTTTTTCAAGGCTAACCAGGAGGTCGTTCCGTAAAAAATGTATTCCAACGGGGCGGTTGTTGCCAAGCGTCGGTTGATTAGTTACACACGAGCACACAAGACAAGCAGGTGCACCGCGGATGAGACTTACCCTGTACAACCCCTTACAGCAGTAGCACCTACCACGCTCCTCGGAAACGCAAACGGTAGGAGCCACCGATGCTGCCTCAAGTGATTCCGCCCACCCACGGCTTTGGTGTGGTCATTTCGAAAGGTATTTGCTGTTTGTGCAGTATAATTTGTTTTCTCAGGCCGGCAGCATCACCGCCATGCGGCACCCATTATTTTGACTTGCCTGCTTGCGATGTGCTTGCTTTGTGGACTGCTGTATCCACTGCTGTGCGCACCGCTGTGCGCACCGCTGTGCGTGCTGCAGTGCTGTTTTGTCGTGTGCAACCTATTGACAATCCTAGCCCTACCCCTTGAACGGCAGGCCTTCATGCGGATGACGGTCTTGTTGTTGGATCTCGCCATCTTCTTCCCCGCCGCAGCAGCACTCACGAGAAGGTGCCTGTCACGTTCGTTTTCCTTGCGTGCTGGCACAGCAGTTGACGGCAGCCTGGACGATGCCTCTACAACAATAGAGGTTGTCGGGTGTACAAGCCTTATCCTTCTCTGTAGGAGGGGAGGACGGGAGAGGCAGGCAGCCTTGCTGAAATGCGTTGCTTCTGTAGCATGGTGCAGCATGGTGGTGTTGCGTCTCCGTTGCTAGTCTCTTGGTGCCCTGTTGTTGCCTAGCGAAACACCTTGTGTGGCGTGGAAATTGCTGCGCGTCGCATGATGCCCAAACACCGGGGTTCTCTATCGTTCATGCTTGCCATGCTGGTCCACGAACGATGCACGTCCACGAATGAAATGACAAACTGCGCACTGGAGTTGTCATCGAGAAGCCCCCAAAGCCGCAAAGATGAAACGCGGCGATGGCTCAGACAAGGGACTGGCTCAGCACATGAGCACGGCCAAAGACTAAACTGCGCTTGCTCTCTCTCTCTGCATCACAGCCGGAAGACTTTTGTGATTTGTTTACTCTTGACGCCGAACAGCGTATGCAACTCCGCCGACATCGCCTAGGCCACCGCCTGCGTTGCCTCTGTCTCTCCGTGCACTTTGGACTATTGACACAACTACAATTTCCGGCACCCCTTGACCGCTGTGCAGGAATGTGTGACTGGCGTACCTACTTCGTCTGCAGCATTGATTTGATTGCTTGCGCACGCCGTGCTTCCCCAGGTTGGCTATTGACAGGGCGATGCGGAGGGGAAGAGGGGTGCCCCTACTACAGCGTTGGGATCATCCTGCCTCGACGAGGGGTCTGTGCATGGTGCTCCTTTCGCCGTCCCTGGTGCTCGTCGATCACGGACACTTCCAGTACAACTGCGTGTGCCTCGGACTGGCCGTGGCGGCTGCTGCTGCGGTGGCTAGCGGAAAGCGTCGCGGAGGTGACTGGTTGGTATTACCAAGGGATTGCCATGGTATATTTTGGTACTATCACAGGTAGACGAGAAAAGACACAGGATTGTCGGGATACTTTAATGTTCGTCATAGAATAGCATCTCAGCGTTTTACTGCATAACTATGGTATGCTACGACCACATCTACGACATCTACGAAATCGAGGTCCACAGGTTTTCTCTGTGTATGGCTTCCGGCTGTTGGTTCTCGGAGAGGCATGGAAGATCATGGACACGGGATGTGTTCCGCGCCTGTGGGTAGTAGATAGAATGGCCTACATGGACAGGGTTCCTTTCTTTCTGGTTGCCCCTGAAATCCCCTCTCCCTCTTGCTGCTGCCATGATTCATCTTGGCCTTGCCGTGTCGTGTGGCAGAACTTGTCGGCAGCGCTCTGTTTTCCTTGTCTCTCAACTTCAAGCAGATGGCTCTGTACTATGCTCCAGCTTTTTTCTTCTACCTGCTGGCCTCTTGTGTGTGGAGTAACCCCGCGGGCACGGAGGCGATTGGTGAGTCAGTCATTCCTTCGGCACGTCCATTTGTGCATGTTTCATTTTTTGGCTGTTTAGTACAGCGTGGATGCTTTGTGTGCATGGGAGGTAAAACGCTCACCTTAAAAACACGAGTGTCTAAGGTCGCGACGTAGACTTTGTATGTAATTTGAGAAGGCGTCCAGGGTTGAGAGTAAACGCTACTACAATGCCAAGATTGCCAAGATTTTTTTCTCTGTACGTGTACTGGTATACCATACAGCAATCCCAGGCAGTTAGTTGCCTACGGCAGCAGGTAGTTTTATGCAAGGCCGACCAGCATTCATCTCCTTCCTAGCCCCAAGCCAAGCACCGCACACACACCACGACCGCTTCTACCATGTTTCCTGAGCGCTGCCGTCTTGAAAATCAAAACATCAGCTGTGTTGGACCAACGAATCAAACGACGTTGCCCCCTGTAGGAAGCCACGCGGATGGCACAGCGACGTCGTTCAACCGTTTGTCGGGAGTGTTGCGCCGGGTGCTCGGCCTCGGGTCTGTAGTGATTGTCACCTTCGGGGTCTTGTGGGCACCGTTCTGCCTTTTCCGGGACGATGATTCTGAGGATGGTTCGGACGCGCGAAGCGGGTGCCTGTCTTCGATGAGCCAGGTGCGTTTGTTCGCCGCATTGTTGCGTCTTTGCTCTTTGGAACCAGCAGGGTCTGCCGCAGGGGCTGACGAAGTTGGAGATTTGACGAAGTTGGAGACTTGTCCCTTGTGTGTGTTCAATTGCGCACGCCCATTCGTCCAGGGGACCCCTGTCCCGCGCGTAGAATGCCGCCATGACAACGACCCGCTTAAGGATGGGATATTTGTCCCTCCGTATGCGCAAGGGGTTTCCGGGCTACATCTCTTCTTGGTAGCTGGAGGTGAAAATGGATGCTTGGGTGGTGTCGGGAAGAATCAGTATCGCAGGACGATGATTGGGATTGGATGGGGGCTAGACCCAAAGCTGCAGCTGGTATTTGACACCAGTACAGTAGCGAGACCGGTTTTCTGTGTCCTTGGTTTTAAAATGGTGTGAGAGGCCACATGACGGATGCCTTTGCATGAAGATGAAGCTGCAGTCGTGACCACGTTTTCGGCCCCCTCCCGTCCCTGATAAGCTTCCGATAAGAGCATGCTGCGTGGTAAGGGGGATGGGTGGGGGTAAGCCACTGTGCGTGATACATGGACGGTTCGTTGACGCTACTCCAATCTGCGCGTTTACCCTCTCGCTTTTGACGGGATGTCCCGTGGGTTTTCTCCTGCCGGAACGGACGGAATGTCCCGGCGCATATCTTGTACGGGCGAGAACGAGTCCGAGTTTTTTAAAACACAGCATTAACGTATTCAAAACTGATTATCATTGTATGTAACGGGAACGGTAACAAACGCAGGTGGCAGTCAGGTTGTTCCCCTTCTCTCGCGGGCTGTTCGAGGACAAGGTCGCTAACCTCTGGTTCTGCCTCGATGTCGTCTTCAAGTTGAGGAGGAGGCTGCCGGTGCCGCAACTCGCCAAGCTGGCTCTTGCGTCGACGCTGAGGTTGGTTGGTTGGTTGCGATGAGCCGCGCATGAAGATGCTGGGATGAGGTTATGAGTAGAGCATGGAACAGCGTAGCCGATGAGCCACAACGTGTTGCGGTGCCGTGGATAAGGAAAGTATGCTGTATAAGGTGACAGGGACATATTCTGGCTATTTATTGGTGGTTCGAGGGTGAAGCCAAGAGGGGAGGGCGCAGGCGAGATACCTCGTGGTTTCCACTTGCGATATCCTTAGCCTAAGGCGGCATCATCCATCATCCATGATTGGCACACAGTATTGTACAGGAAGGTGTTCTTCACCGACCTACCCGCTAGAGTACCGCAGTGCAGAACGGTACAGCACGTACCAGCAGTGCAGCAGGTACAGCAGAGCAGTGCACGAGGCGATTCCTTACAGCAGATGTTGGCTGGCATGTTGGAATGTTGACATAAGAGCCACCTGGAAAATATATGATCATGATCACCGACAATACCACTAATACCAACACCAACGTCAACGTCAACGTCAACATTTTGCTTCAACAACAACAACAACAACAACCACCACTCAGACGTTTTACCCTAGCCTAGCCGGCGGTGCTCTCAATTTTGATACTAGAATAGATGATTCGCGCGGTGTCAGGGTCAGAGTAGTGTGCGCGACCAGGCAGGGCTGTTGGTCGGAAAGATTCTTTCGCCCTTGTTTGTCATAAAAATATCTGACTTTTATGTGCATAACGTCGAACGCCTGCCAGTACACCTCAGACCTCAGACCTCACACCTCACACCTCACACCTCACACCTCACACCTCACACCTCACACCTCACACCTCAGACCTCAGACCTCACACCTCAGACTCGACGAGAGTTAGTAAGCAAGAACTGTTCTGTTCGTAGCACCGTTCGCAGATGCAAGTTCCGTCGCTTCGGCGTGAACCATCGAATCATCATGATATGTCATGGCATGGTTGGGTATCGATTCGAGCTAGGAATGAGTGTTTCATCTCCCAGTCTTCGAGGCGTGACTGCTGCTGCTACTGCTGCTAGAATATCGGCATTGTCCGTCTGCCTTTCGCACCCCGCGGCAGTGACATCAGCGGCACACCCTGTTCGCCCCCCTTTGTGAAGGACAACGTCCTAGGTATGCATACGGTACCAACAACGATGTACCGCGAATTGTGCATTGTGTGTAACCCCCACTAGTGCCGTACGTCTCTTTCGTCACCTTGCTGCTTTGTGCGTCACCCCGGCTCTCGTTCGTATGTCGGTACAGCCTCTTGGTGCCGGTGGGAGCGGAGCTCTTGAGGCCGGGCCGATCGCCGACGGCGAGGAGGCTGCTGCTGGCCCTCTTCAACAGCTCCATGGCCTTCTTCTTGTGTTCTTTTCAGGTGAGGTCAGGTGAGGTGAGGAGGCGAACAAGCGATCGAGGTTTCAGCCACTGCTGTGCCGTGCTATCCCTAGACCTGTGTAGTCGATATTGGCCTAGCTGGCTGGCCAATACCTGATAGCCTTTTCTTCTCCGGCTTCATTGTGTTGCAAGAATCTATGCTATGGTTTGTTGAGCACGGCAAGCGAAGGCCTTGCATGGAGAGGTGGCAACTGGGTTTGAAGTTTGAACTAAGGAAAAGGCAGCGGATGCAATCTCGACAATCTCGACAACGGGGGAGTGTTGTTCGGCGTCTGCGTCGTAGCTTCCCGAACAGCAAACCTGTCCGTGCCCAAAAAAACATGCTGACCGCTCGTGAATATCTGTTAAATAGCCCAAGGGCGGACTCGTTTGGTGTTCCCTCGTTCCCTCGACATATTGATGTTTTGTGATCTGGTGGCCACGGACAGAGAACGAGATTCCTTTCGAAACGGAACAATAGAGGTGTCGCCTACATTCGCGCGCTCTCTGCTCTAGACTTCGTAGGAAGAAGGGGGTACCGGGGGGGGGGCTCCGATCTCTACGGTACGGGTAGTACTGCTTGATGTTGTTGTTTCAGGCATCAAGACGGTTAGGATCAAGTGTATGAGGAGGAGGAGGAGGAGGAGGAGGGCTTGGCATACCATGTCATACTAAGATGTTCTCATGGGTGCCCGCGGACGGTCAGTGGTACAAACGCTGCCTCCTTTCACCGAGAATAGCGAGGAATTATCTTCCTGTTGCCTTCAGTGTTTTTGTCCCGCATTTTCTCCTGGTGGATCCGTGCGATTGGACCACCTATCCCTCCTTCGCGTGTGTGAGACGTCGGGCGACGAGCACTGACAAGTACTGTGTCGTGCTCTACTATTGATGTGCCCATCTGCGCTACTACATAGGTACACGAAAAAAGCCTGCTGCTGCCACTCTGCCCTCTGGCGTTTCTCTGGAGAGACGCGCCCCTGTTCACGACGTGGCTACAGGTACATCCAAAGCGGTGTTTGGATGTATCTAGTAACCTTTCAAACATTGTCACCGTTCTTTTAGTGTGTGGGTGGCCCAACATGCTGCTGTGACGACTATTGCTGCCCCCGCAGTGCGCAATCCACCATGAAGGAAATTGTCACGGAACTCGCTACACGGCTGGATTTTGTGTTCCTGCGTGGACACACGAGTTCTTTTGAGGGGGCAAGTGATTTACGGGACGTACGGTGGGTTGGTTCTTACAATAGCCTTGTGACTACGGAAGGCATCTGCGTAAGTTGGACCATTACGAGTGTATTTCGGACGCACTTAGCAGAGATTGGCGCTGTTATGTCAGTACAACAACGATAACAACAGTATCAACATGGCGTCATCTCTTGTTGGCCTCGTCACCCTGTCGTCGCCAATCCCTGCTCGTGCTCCGGTGCTGCTGTCATATCTATCGTGACAAGGTTATCGGCGTTTTCAGCATGAAGCCGTTGCTCGCTCGGGAAGGGCTGCTCGTGCCTTGTGTGGTGTGCACCTTGCTCTACGTCGCCGCCTCGACGGTGAGTCACACCCATCACCCATCACCCATCACCCATCACTCACCACTCATCACTCATCCACCTTACGTCACAGCCATCAGTCATCCCTTGTCAGCATCGGTCTGCCTGTATCATGAGATAGATGCGATCGTTGTTTTGGCCCTTTCACACATATTCGAAGTAAGGCAAGAAGACCAACGCTCCAAAACGACAGCAGCAGGCACAGCAGCAGGGAACGAACGTGGCTACAGTACCTACCGAGACCCGCGAGGACTCAGAGCTTTGAATTGAACTGTTCCACACTGTAGTAGTAACACCCGCGGTGACACCCACGAAGAAGGCACCGCTTGTCTATCGGCGAACAACCCTCGCACAAATGGAGCAGCACATGGTAGATTTGGCTGAATGCTTTTTGTAGCCGTGATCGCTTTGCTCGCCACCGGCGTTCGCGAGACTTGGGAGCATGCCTATGGGGCTGTATCTTGCTCACCGCCGCGATTTCGTGCGCGTGGATGTACTCGAGCTGAGAGAAATCGGGCGTGGAAGTCGACAACATGTTTGAGTTGATTTAGTATGGACATTTCGGAGAATCTGGCCTTGCTTCTTTTTTCGGGATATCGCTGACTGAAACCCCCAACTTGCAATTGGACGAAGAGGCCATGGGGTGGCGCTTGCATGCAGGGTACGGAGGCACTGGAAGGAGCAACACTTGTAGAGCAGACTCGTCATCGTGCTTGTTAACAAAAGTTAATGCCCGATTCCGCCAAGCTTTCTTTCAAGCCATGAACACGTCCCCTCAGGGTTGCCATCCCTGTGATCAGCTCCGTCTTGCCCGGAGAATCCCATCGGTACAAGAGGTTCATCGTCAGAATTTTCAGTCCCATGTATATATTGTGATAGCAATTCGACGAGTATCGTCGCGTTGCCTGTCTGAAGTTTTCCATGTTTTAGAGGTTAAGAAAGTCGAGGGCGCACACCGCGACACGCTCGCCCACCGAGAACGACAAAGAGTTCTGTACCACACAGGAGAGGAGAGATGACGTAAGATATCACGCCCCCTGAACAATTTGTAATTTTCAAAGCTCGATTACTCCACAGCAGAAAGCGTGGCCGGGCGGCGTTGGCACCGATAGCGTTCCGAAACAAATTAGCGTCCTCGTCGTCGTGGACTAACATCACTAGCTGTGAATATTGATGATGCGATATATTATGTCACCTACTGCCGGTACGTGCCATGCATAAGAACAAGGAGCACCCTCCATACTCCAGTAAATTGAGTTGAAACCTCTCATTACCCATCCATGAAGAAGTTGTTTCACACACGAATACTTAATAAGTGCTACAAAAACAATCGATGGACGAACCCAGCAGTTCCGTTGTTGTTGTGTTCACAATAAATTACAAAACCGTTCGTTCTGTTATGTCTACCCAGTGCCTTCTTCGTCTGCCTGTACTATTATATTATGTATGATAGTCTGAGACTTGACGCGGTCGATTCCCGCCCGTGGTCACGGGCTAACTTACCCAAAAAAGTGACGCGAAAAATAAAATGAACCCGAAGAAGGGTCCGCAAGTCGACGACAGATTAATCGAGGACCCTCCGCTCGCTTCAATACGCTATGCGAGGTAGTCATAGACTGGACAATAAAGCAAAACGGAGCGAAAGAATATTAGAGGTGGACCTCACGCGTACCCGGAAAAACCGCGTCAGTCTTGGACCGGCACTTCTCACAACGCCCGTCCATGCGCATGCACTTTTTTGTGGCGAGGAACTCCATGGGAACTCCATGCTTTCAAGAATGCCGCGAACTATCTCGTTGATCTGTTTCTTTCGTTTACATACATGTCACACCCGAATGCAAAGGAGACCACACCAGAACGCGCTCGCCGCACGCTGGGAAGAATCGGGGGCTACATAAATGCGGACCCCAGAAGATGCGCTTTTCACAGTAGGTTTCCTCTCCGAAACGAAAGAACCGGACGGGAGAGAGGGAAAAAAGAAAAAAGCAGAGGCGTAGTACGCGTTCGCCGTCATGGATATTACACAATACGAGTCGTATTGTGGTAGTGGCAGGAACCTCTCTCTGCGATCAGGTCAGCAGGCCACCAGTCGCCGGGGCTCTTCTGTTGCACCCACCCATGAGCGCAGCAGTAGTAGCGCATGTCCTCTAGTAGACAACTACTGCTGAAAATATTGGAGACCACGAATTATACCGACAGGTGGGTCGTGGGTGGGCGGGGGACCCGAAGAATCAGTCGGACTCAGCCAGTTTACATCCTCACAGTTAATTACAAGCAAGAACGAAGGGCGATTAGAAAAGAGAGACCGCCAGCGACAGGAAACAAAGAAGTAGAGGAGCGCAGAGCTGAGAAACAAGTGAAGAAACAAGGCCCCCTTGCCGCTCTGACCCATGTACCGCAGCAAACAGCAGGGGCAGCACCCACTACCTCACATGCAGTAACCGGGTACACGGACTGATACGCAGTAGAGGTTCAGTCTCTTTCTCCGGCAAGAACAATAACGCCCGGGCGAACTTGAACTTGTAGTCACCAGAACTAGCGTCGTGATGACGTACTTGTAGTCATTCTGCTTGCCGTGGGAGATGCGCATCGTTGCGCGAGGGAGTCGTTAACTCCTCGCATATAATATGCTGCCGTAGACCCCAGACCCTATCCCTCAAGCTCAACCACAGCTATTATACCCGATACATGGTAGCATCATCTCCAGCTGTAGAAGAATCGAAAAATAAACTGTTTTCTTGTTGGCGAAGCGGACCCTCTTTTTTGCGACTTTCCAACTTCTGTTCGTGGATGTCAACATGGCGACACAGACAGACAAAATCTAGGGTTGACGTCGGCCTCATCCGCCGCAGGAGGTGAAATCTATACTCAAAGTCCGGGAGGAGTCGTGGTTTGCAATTCGCTACGAATCCGTACTTGAGGCGCCATGAGATTTGCACTACCTCTTTTTTTTCAAGTGGCCAACTGTTGTTTGGATGGCGAGACAGTTTCCGGTCTTCTTGTCTGCCGAAAGAGGCCGAAGCTGATGCTCAAACTCGGGGAGGGGTCATGTTTTGCGACTCCCTACCGAACCATGCTCGCTCGGGGCACCACGTCATGAACATGACAAGAAAAACATCCCCCCAACGAAACCTGCTGAAATTCATGGATGGGGTTGCGAGTGTTGTGTGTGTGTTTTCGTCCTATTTATTATGGCGACAGTCCCCCCCGTTTTTCGTGGTGAGACGTGTACTACACTTTTCAGCGTATGTAGAGTACTACACTTTTCAGTGCATTTTTTCGTACAACTACAACCATCCAGGGTCACACAGGAGGGGGTAAACACCAGGGCTTTTTACTTCTTTTTATTTCTTTTCATGCCCCACCTTCCTGCGGTGCGTGCTGAATTTTAGTTTTATCGCGAGAAGGGTCCAGCCGTCCCTTTCCCTCGTCAATGGTGCTAACGTCGAAGTTTGGTACCCACGAGAGCTTCGTAGCTATATTTCGCTTTCACCCGCAAGTTTCGTAAATTTTTCACCCCATGGGGATTCGAACTCACGACCTCTGCGACTAGCGGATTACGAGGATACCACTAGACAACCGGGGCGACCGGTTGTGAGCGGGGGACCCCAAAACAATGAAACAGTCGCGGTTCGCGTTGTTCTGGGCCCCTACCGGCGAAAAACACCGTCGTCGCTCTGAACTGCTGGAAGCTGTCACACAGCACTGCATGTGCGGCGAACCGTAGGGGCCATGCGCATTGCTTGACGGAAAGAGGCGGCGCCCATCGCCTCACATGCAGCAGCCGGGTACACGGGTAGCCAGCCTCCTACGCAAGATGCAAAACGATTGCCGTTGACCTTCGATGTTTTTGGGACCCTAACGGCGAAAATGCAAAAGAGATAGAGAGGTAGACTAAAGGAAGAGAGGCTCGAGAAGACAAGGCATGAACTCTCGAGAAGACACTCACTCTCGTCCCTAGAACACGTAACGAACGGCGACATCCGATGTGCACTCAGCAACAACAAACACGACAAAAGAAAATAGTCGTCGTCCGACCTGCTGTGGAGATACTGTAAGTTGGTGGAGACTTTCTTTTTTGTCTGGTATGTGAAGTGGCAACAAAGAAGAACACTACCTGTGTCGACTAGAAGCTAGAGTTGTGAATCGGAACGATGTACACGATATATATCGTCCGATATATATCGATATCGGTATCGAAAATTCGTGCCGATGTTCCGACCGATGTTTTCTTAGGGGCTCCGTGAATCAAATTTAGGGTATGCGCAGCAGTACGGAGCCCCTGTACGCCACACACACACAGCACAGCAGCGCAGAAACAGCAGACAACAGCACCATGAGTGATCATTTAATTTTTGTTCCTTCTCGTTTGCTCGTTTTTTTTCTTTTTTCGGTTGCACGTTGCATGCGCAGGTAGTAGGGAGGTAGATAAGCGCTAGTGCTGTATCCATAGTGCCGTAGTGCTGGCTTTCATGTCCAGAACCAACCGGGAAGTAGACACAGGGAGAGACCGAAGGAGGGTACTGCTGAGGATACGCGACAATACATCAATCTTAATCTTTTTTTTTTTTTTCTACATTCCGTGCGATGTTTGCAGCTGAAGTCAAGCCCTTTTTGATGCCGCATTTGGGCCCATTTTGACGGGAAATGAAAGGAAAATGCACCAAATTTTCTGCCTCCGGCGGCGCCTCCGGCGAGGCCCCCTCACCAGCCGGGGGGGGCCGATGGGGGGGCTCGCTTCGCTCGCCCCCATCACGGCTCGCTGCGCTCGGCCGTAGGCGATATATCGGAGAAAATATCGTTATATCGGCTGCTGCGCAGCCGATGTAAAATATATCGTTTTTTCGTACCGATTCACAACTCTACTAGAAGCACGACGGACAATCTATTTTGTCAATGCGCTTGTCGTGGCGATAGATGCGCACCGCTACCGCGATACGAACGAGCAGACTGTTGTCAAACCTCACTACGATAACCGTACGGCCACTGCACCACATTCCGAGCATAACGGCAGCAACCGCAGCAGGAGCAGCCGCATGTGTACAATGGTTTTGATCGGTTTCCGAGGGCTCTTTTCTCGAACGGTCGATGCGGTACCTGTTATATTCTTATCATTTTGTTTTCTTCGTCCGAGTGGTTTATACCCTATTTTTGTTTTGTTCCCCGCGGCGTCGTATGTGCCGGGTTTTGAGACCACGGGCTCCCCATTTTTTGTGTGGACATTAGAGCTAATGCGAGAAACAACGACAACAACAACAACAATGGTCACTCAAGAACAAACGCAAAAAAGAACACGTGTGGCGCGCAGCACGCAGGACCCTCTTTCGCTGTTCAACCGGTTGTTTGATGGCGAACCAGGCAAGGAATAGTCAGGCCCACTCTTGCCGGCCACAGGAGGCGGAAGCTGCTCGAACTAGGGGACGGTTCATGAGTTGCGATTCCACACCGAAACATACTCGAGGCGCCGCGAGATTTGCACTGTAGCTCGAGATCAGCATTCTAGACAGGGGCAAGGGGTTGTTGTTGTTGTTGTTGTTGTTGTTGTTGTCTTCACATTAAAAACCGTTCCGATCTCTCTCTACCCAGTACCTTCGTATGTCCGTACTGATCCAACACTCGACGCGGTCGATTCCCGTGGTCGCAGGCTAACTTACCCTGAAAAGGTACACTCGAATAACATGGCCCCGAGGGGTGCGCAAGTTAATATAAATCAACGCCAGATATTCTGGAGTCCTCCACTCCCTCTGCGCGCTATGCGAGGTAACAACTGAGACTAGGAGTCACCATCACAGGCCGGAGAGAGTGAGGTACACCCCCTTGGTTCAATCTTGGTACTTCACAACGCAAGCAGAGACAAGGCCATCTGGCACAGAAAAAAGAGAAAAAGAGAAAGGGTGGGGCATGCGGATGAAATTTCCACGGATATTGAACGATGAGACTGAAGCTAAACCTTCAGAATCGGGCGCAATTAAAACTCTCGAAGAATAAACTGTACAAGGGGAGATTTGAACCCTGGACATCGGCTTTTGTTAAGGACAAGATGACCACCAGACCACTATTATAATATATAATAAGTCTGCATTTCTCTAGTACCAGGCTTTCGCACAGTATTACTCTAGTACATTCTCTGTTTCATGCAGGCGTCAGCAGCAACCCAGAACGGTTATGGAGCAATGTGTCTGGAAGGCAGACGAAGGAGGAAGTGACTTCGGGATCGATCGTGTGTCTCACCTTACACCATAAATGTTCCTTCTTTGCTTTGTGTTGGATTTTGTTGTGTCAGTTTCTGGCACTACCGGAGGGCAACGTGGGCGAGCCAGTCGCTTCGTCTTTTCCATACGGGAGGTAGGTCAGGCCGCAATGCACGCGTTCCGTAGACTAGCGCCGATGCCACGGGATGTGTACATTGATCGTTGAAAGTATTCGGAACATCAGCCGGGACATGTCCTTCACAAAAGGCGGTCAAGACCGCACGCGACGTGCTCCTCGCACAAATTGATGATGTTGTATCAACGAGAGTAACAAGTAGAGCACGGATAAGACACTGTCTGCACGCCCGGCACCTCGTTGACGACGCCACACGCACAAACCATGTGGAACGTTGAACGGTCAACATAGGCCTGACATATATAGGCACTCAGTACAAGGCAAGGAAAGTCGGAAATCGGGGTACTGTTGTACCCGGGGGTACGTGACTTACACAGCGACGCCCCCAGAAACCGAAATCGTCAAGAGCTATGTATGCAACAATACATCACGAATAATGTTTTCAGTGAAACGCCAAGCCAATTGCATGCAGAAACCGTCCGGTGGGTGTCTTACCACCCTGCCTGGGTTAGGTATCAGATACACTTGCTGCCCACCGCTTTTATTTACAAAATATTGTTGTCTTTGGTGACCCTGAGTAAGATGTGCGTACGGTGGCAGGCCGGTTCGATCTCTCTCTCCTCCCTCCTCTTTCGCCACCTTGCACTTTATCACCAAGTACTTGAGCAAATTGACAGACGTACTGCTTCACAGGTGCTTGACTCGCGCACGCCTTGGAGTGATGGCGGCCCTCTCCCTCGGAGGCATGGTGCTGCTGCTGGCGTTGGAGGCAGCCGTGGCGCCTCCGGCGGCGCTGCCGTACCTGCACCCCACCCTAAATGCCATGTACTCGTGTGCAAACCTCACGGCGGCCTACGGGATCGGCGTGTGGTGGCAGTGGCAAGAGGGGATGCGTGGCGGTGGGGGCAGAGGCGGGGTGGGCGAACGGCAAGAGCGGCGTCTGTCTCACGAAACGGTCACCAAAAAGCAACGATAGCAAAACATTATGCAAACGACGGACACGATACTGGAGATGTGTCGTCGATTTTTGTGGCTCGTTTCGGGCAATCGGAACCTGGCACAGTAGTAGGCACGTGGGCACCCTTACGTCGATGCGCGAGACGTGGTACCCTTTCCAACACGCATCCTGCTGCTTACGGAGTTGTGCGACCTTGTTTTTTGTTTGCTATTTTAGGCTACTAGTACTAGAAGAGCTCCGATACCTTGCGCAGTACGATATGCTGGTGTGCAAGTAGATATGATAGCATGGAGTAGGATGTTTTTTTCATGGAGGTAACGAGGTTTATCGGACACTCAAAGGGGGAAACGTACCCAGAGCTTGGTCTGCAATTCGTTTCTTGTAGTTGGCATTTGGCGGTGTAGACGAGTAGACGGGACTTACGTCCCGGGTGCATCTGTCGCACGTAGAAAGACTCTTCTCGGTCCCGTCGAGTATTGTATACATATATCTTGGTAGCATAATGTAGTGGAAGATATTCTCCCGTTGTATTGAACCCACCAAAACATATCGATTCCAGTTTTTAGTATGTATTGATTGGAGCAATATGCATTTAATATCAAATTGTCCAGGGTGTAGTAGAGACTAGCCGTGTACGCACATGCACATACAAGTGAGGCGATCCACGTATAAGGTATCCACGTCAAAGATATGGTGAGTATGGAAGGCGAACGGCAAGAGAAGGCCGTCGGAATGTACAGGTAGGGCACGGCAGTGTGGGCGCGTCACTGCTCCGGGGGAATCCGTTGAATATATCTATATGCGTGATGGCTGATGTGGGAGTCAGTTCCAATCCGAATAGGATTGGTTTCTGCGGCGAATAAAAATCCTCTGACTCCGCTTTTTTGATTGCGGCCGATTTCTCCCGGCTCGCGCAAGCTACGAGCACGAAATCACGGCGTTACCTTCGCCAGACCCATGCCTCGAGCGCCCTGCGCTTGGAATTTCGATCGACGCCACACCGGCGCCAAACGCGACCATTTTGTCCACAGCAGCAACGAATTGACGTCTTTTTAGTGTGGGTGCACTTTTGCTCTTCT